GGGCACAAACTGAAGCAGAGGAAGCTCCATCTGAACATGAGGAAGAACTTCTTCCCTCTGAGGGTGACGGAGCCCTGGCCCAGGCTGCCCAGGGAGGTTGTGGAGTCTCCTTCTCTGGAGATATTCAAGCCCCGCCTGGACAAGGTCCTCTACAGCCTGCTGTAGGTGACCCTGCTTCGGCAGGGGGTTGGGCTGGGTGACCCACAGAGGTCCCTTCCAACCCCTACCATTCTGTGATTCTATGATTCTGTGATTCTGAGTAGCAGTAGGAAATTAAGTGGAGATGATGATGTGAAGTCAGCTTGGTCCAAAAAGGTAAAGTCCGATTTACCTAAACCTGAGAGCTACCCTTGCTGGAACACTCCAGTGCTGGGAACTGTGAATTCCCAATCATTTTGCTCAAGAAAGGCTGTGAGAAGCGTCAAGAAGAATGGATTTTTCTTTGTTGACTTGTGCATTAAATGTGCAAATTTATCCTTTTAGTGAAGAGTAATGGGTGATGATTTAGCATGCTGCTCGTGATTTGCTTTAGCCTTGTACCACTAAAGCTCTTTCTAGTGGTCAAAAAACTCCATTAATTTTAAAGAATGCCCTTCTTATTCTGCCCTTCTGGAGCTGGTCAGTTTTTCATCTTCTCAACAATCTGCCAGTAAAATCAGAATTAAGTCCATGGGGTAAGCGCAAAAGTAAATTTAAAGCAAACAAGTCCTCAGTCTGCAAACACTTAAGTCATGTGAGGTGTCCATGTGTAAAATGCTCCTGAAAGCAAGCTTTGCGGATTAAGACTCTAACAGCAAAGACTCACGTTTGGAAAGCAGGAGGACGACTAAAGGCAGTAGATGAGAATTGGTGGTAGTACCTGTAATACCTTGCTAGGTAGGTACCAGGTTGTGGTCCTTCTGCTTCCTAGACTGCTTGCCGAGTAAATTACGGTTAGTCCTCACACAAGAACAGAATCCTGCAGTTTCCTCTTCAGCTTGCAACCCACTAATTCAAATCTAGCAAAGCACAGTCGATCTGATGGCTGGATGCCAGAGACAATGGACCTGTGCAAAATCAAGGGACAATCTAAAACTGTTCGGTGATTAATAGCTACTGGTGTTCCTCACTTAACAGCAGAGGGATTGCTGGTCCTTGCAATTATGCTTTAGAGTGAAAAGAATTTGAAAAACTTGTCTTTTGCTTTATCTACGTTATTGGAAACTAGTACAGTGTACAGGAGCTGTGGAAGATGGAGCCGTCTGTTCAGTAGTTCCTCCCTTGGAGGAGGGTGTTGGCTCACTGAGTACGAGAAAGTTGCTCTCTGCCAGGAGAGCTGCGATGAGGTGACACCAACGGTCTCATCTGCTGTTTGAAACCGGATGGACTTGTGCAAGGAAGATCTCAACCGATCTGAAAGTTGATTTTACATCAAGAAAGCAGGACTTTTAAACAGACTGACATGATTTCTAGCATTCTGCTTTTAACTTTGTACTTGGCTTTGTCTTTTTCAGGACTGAAAGTGAATCGCCTAGACATGTATGGAGAAAAATACAAGCCTTTTAAAGGTGTCAAATATATTACAAAAGCAGGAAAATTCCAGGTCAGGACGTGAGAAGATGCTCTACTTCCAAGAGTAAATTCTCCTTAAAAAACTTGACTGCTTAGTGACTTATGTTGCTATTAATTAGGTGCCAGTTAATTAATAGACACTGATTAGTTTGGGATCAAAGCATTTGTGCACAGCAGCTCCTAAAATGAAAGCGTAGCTTAGTTTTTCTTAATATGGCTTTCAAACAAGGTCCTTTTTTTCTAATACACCTTCACTTTTTTTTACGGAATTGTTGTGCTGGTGAATAGTTTGATAGAGGTGATCCACAAAACGTCGCAAACACTACACTGCCGGTCAGATACCAAAGCCCAGAGGCCAGGCACATCACGAAGGCCAGACAGGCCACTGGCAAAGCCTTGTGGTGGCACGTTTTGCTGCCACAGCTGCCTTCAGAGAAAGCTCAGCTATCCTCACTGCCAGCTGCAAGCTGGCATTCCACAAAGCACCACGTAATCCATTCAGAAAGAGAGAGGGGCAGGGGCCTGGGACATAGCACATGTCACTCCTGAGGAAGAGCTTCTGATGAAGAAAAAAAAGTAATTTCCATGTTGTTTACAAAAAATCGCCTTTCTTAAGAAGCATTTGCCTTAATCAGCTTTCATTTGTGCCATCTGCAGATGAGCTGATAAATATAACTTTCTGCATTCAATCTGGGAGGTGATTGTTGCTTCAGTAATCCACTTTCTTTCCATTCAATCTTTGCCATCATTTTTTTTAAGAATACAGTTGCAGAGAGTAAGATCTATTTTTTATGTGAAGCCCTTGCTTTGATTTCGGTGTTCCACTTGTTCGAAGTGGGTGCCACCAGACTTGTGCCGTGCGTACGTTGGAGCGTAGCTTTTTAGATAGCACAATAGAAGTGTCAAGTGTATTTAATGGTTGTGTGCTTTAATGTTATGAAATAAAGGGAACTCTACTGCAAATGCATTTTCTCTTGTGAAACGCTGTTGTAAACTTCGTGGTGCTCTTAGGTGGGAGACCTCTGAAATACAACTGAACAATGACGATTTGTCATTGTCTTTACTGAACTTGATCACTGAGCAGCTATTTAGAGTTTAGAAAGCGCATTTAGGAGTGTGGCAGGCAAGCTCCCGTTTGTTGTTTTTTTTTTTTTTTAAGTGGAGGACTATTAACTTTTAGATTGTGACATTTCAGAGACACAACAATGATGCTGCAAAGCTGACTAAACTTCTCCTTACACGCCATCATAAGCTCCTTATCTCTGTAAACTGCTCCATGTTCCACGGTACCCGTCAGCCTTCAGACCATACGTTCGGTCGGTACAAGGCAGGCTGAGAAACCCAAGTTCAGAGTTAAGAAAGGGTGGGATACTGGGGACCCTCTGCTTCCCTAACCTGTTTGGCTTACAAACTGATGACTAGATGCTGACTTTTGCTTCAGATGAAGAACAGGAACTCCAGTCAGTCAGTAGTGAAAATTTCAAATACTGGGACAAGAAGTGATCCAGTCGGAAAAAAGGAGGGGGAACCCACCCGAACGCTGGCAGCAAGCCAGTCAGAAAAGAAACGAGCATATATTTGCTATTGGTACCTTTGGACATACCGCTAGGGTAAGCTTGGCCACAAACCACCACTTTGAATCTCTGAAGTTACCGTAGATTTGCGTAGATTTAAAAGCTACCGACCTTCTAGTCTACCTTTTTCCTCTGGCGAAACATCCGTCAGTTCATTACTCATCCTACAGTTCTGCTCCGTGTTTCAGCAAATGGCATCCTTCGGTTATGGTCATTTTACCAAAGTCTTGTCTACAGCTGTAACTGGTAATGTCCCAAGCTTCAGGCTGAGTCGCTAGAGCCGCTCTCTGCCTTGCCAGCCTGGAAATGCTGCCGGATCGCCTTTCTGAGCAGAGCTGACACCACTACCGATGGAGCACACAACGCAGTGCCAACACCGGCTGGCCTGAACACCCACCCTGCCCTTCAGCACGTCGCAGCGTGAGTCTTGCCACCCTCCTGTAACTCGGGCACCAGGGCAGCACACACAACACTTCTGTCTCTGGAGAGGCTTTGACCCGTACTCCGCCGTGCACCACCCGAAGGCGCTGGCAACAAGAATTCCAAGAATTGACTCACCGGATAGGAAACCACCCCGCGCATGACGATGGCTTTCATCAGGGAAGCAGCAGCGGTTGTGGTGTGCCGGCTCCAGCCATTGCTCCAAACACAGGAAACTCAACTGCAGACACTGCAGAAGGGGGGGCTCTGTTCCTGTGCTCCCTGTTAAAAAAAAAAGTCGCACCAGCACCTGTGTGAATTCCTGGCAGTGTCCAGAGCCAGCTTGGACAGGGCTTAGAGTACCCCGGGCTGGTGGAAGGGGTCCCAGCCCACGGCAGGGGGGTTGGAACGAGATGGTCTGTAAGGTCCCTCCCAACCCACACCGTCCTGTGACGCTGTGAGTAGCACAGCTCAAGGACTTGGAGGATGGCCTTGCTGAGGAATTGGTACTGCCAGCTTTTGATCTCCCCCCTCTACCTGTTCAGCTCTGGGAGTGACTGGCTGTCTCTCAGGTTCTCCTCTCTCAGGTATGGAGAGAACTGCGTGAATAGTACAAAATCGGAATTTTACCTTTTCTTACTAAATCCCCCAGGTGCCTTCCAGCACTGGGGGACTGCACTCAGACCTGCGGCACCAATCCACAAAGTCAGAACGTTACGCATGCTGGTAGACATGTTTAGCGAGAAGTGTTTGTAAGAGGTTCATACTGTGAAGGAGTGAAGGAAAGAGGACAGCGAGTCCATGCGCATCCCCCTTGCAATCGATTTGTGAAGTAAAATTCCAATGAACAGGGCAGTGGCCCTTCTTCCCTTGCCGACGGGATCGGGCAAATCCCAGTGCAAGGTTTCAGAACCTTGTTGGTGCTGCTGGAACAGATGGCCACCAGGCCTCGGGGGAAATGCCTGGTTTCTCCCGCTGGGCCACAGCTCCCAGTAAGTTCTTTAATTACTAGTTTTACCGGCACAAAAGGCAGAAACAACCTGTTTTAATCTTTGCCCGTTTGAGCAACTTAGCACTTCTTCCTGTTCAGAATATGTAGAAACAACCGTTCTTTTGCTTTAGCGTTTCTGCCGCTGTCACGTTTTGCTTGTTGCGGTGTTGTCCACTGCTCCGTTGACATTAACACGCACAAGCTGACATTTGTACAAATGCATTTTTATTGTTTTAAAAGAACCAAAAGAAAGGTTGAAAACATTAGACTATACAATACATTTTGGTTTATAAACAAAGTTTTATAGTGGTAAAACATTTCTAAGTGACATTCATGGTCTTTTTCAAATTTTTGCTGCATTTCCGGTCCGAAGACCAATAGTGTTCAAAAAAGCAGTAATTGCATAAGGTGGACAAGTATCTCAGCTTCTACAAAACAGTTCGAGAACTTACAGCAAACATTCTGGAAGAATATCAAAGGCAACCATGATTCGTAACTCTCCTGCAAACATTCCTCAACAAACAAAAAGTGATCTTTGGCATAAACAATTATGTATTAAAGGCATTAGTAATATTGCATTAATATCAGTAAGCAACTAAACAGTAATGCTAAAAAAAAAACCAAAACAAAATCTCACAGAGAAGCCTGAATTGGGGGGAGGAGGAAACGTGAGGAGCATTGAAAAGTAATACAGGAAGACTATTTAGAAAATCCCTTAAAAATAACCCCTACCTATTCAGTGTTATTTACTATTAAATAGAAATTACGACATTACAATTATGTTAAAGATCTGGTAGAAACCAACCAAACGCAAGACATTCAGGTTAAGGCTCTGGCACCCCTTCTGTCCTCTTCCTCTCGCAGGCAATTGCAGGAAGAGAACACCGAGGAAATACCCGCAGTACCACATATTTTGTAATACCCAGCCCCAAGGAGTGAATTAAAGACGGACGCTGCTTTCTCTCACCAAGGTCAGTTTGAGGCAGATGTATTACAATCAGTTTAGCTTCCCTTTTTCGGTAACAGTGCAATGGGGGGGTGGAGGGGAGAACGTCCGGCTGCAGAACACCGCTCGCAGACAGGGAAAGGCTGGTGCCTACAGCGGGCGTCTCTTCGGGCTGCGCAGACCCAGCCGGTCTTCCACCAGGGCCCTTCCGGTAAACG